TTTTTCATGTGTTTTCTGGCCATTTGAATTTCTTCTTTTGAGAAAGTTCTGTTTAGTTCACTGCCCATTTCTTTATTGGTTCATTAGTTTTGGGAGAATTTAGTTTTTTAAGTTCCCTGTATATTCTGGTTATCAGTCCTTTGTCTGATGTATAGTTGGCAAATATTTTCTCCCACTCTGTGGGTGTTCTCTTCAGTTTAGAGACCATTTCTTTTGATGAACAGAAGCTTTTTAGTTTTATGAGTCCCATTTATCTATGCTATCTCTTAGTTGCTGTGCTGCTGGGGTTTCATTGAGAAAGTTCTTACCTATACCTACTAACTCCAGAGTATTTCCTACTCTTTCTTGTATCAACTTAAGAGTTTGGGTCTGATATTAAGATCCTTGATCCATTTTGAGTTAATCTTGGTATAGGGTGATATACATGGATCTAGTTTCAGTTTTTTGCAGACTGCTAACCAGTTTTCCCAGCAGTTTTTGTTGAAGAGGCTGCTATTTCTCCATCGTATATTTTTAGCTCCTTTGTCAAAGATAAGTTGCTTATAGTTGTGTGGCTTCATATCTGGATCCTCTATTCTGTTCCACTGGTCTTCATGTCTGTTTTTGTGCCAGTACCATGCTGTTTTTATTATTATTGCTTTGTAATATAGTTTGAAGTCAGGTATTGTGATACCTCCTGCATTGTTCTTTTGACTGAGTATTGCCTTGGCTATTCGTGGCCTCTTGTGTTTCCATATAAATTTCACAGTAGATTTTTCAATCTCTTTAATGAATGTCATTGGAATTTTGATGGGAATTGCATTAAACATGTAGATTACTTTTGGGAGTATCGACATTTTTACTATGTTGATTCTACCAATCCATGAGCATGGGAGATCTCTCCACTTTCTATAGTCTTCCTCAATCTCTTTCTTCAGAAGTGTATAGTTTTCCTTGTAGAGGTCTTTCACATCTTTTGTTAGGTTTACACCTAGGTATTTGATTTTTTTTGAGGCTATTGTAAATGGAATTGTTTTCATACATTCTTTTTCCGTTTGCTCATTGTTAGTGTATAGAAATGCTAATGATTTTTCTATGTTGATTTTATATCCTGCTACCTTGCTATAGCTATTGATGATGTCTAGAAGCTTCTGAGTAGAGTTTTTTGGGTCTTTAAGGTATAGGATCATGTCGTCTGCAAATAGGGATATTTTGACAGTTTCTTTACCTATTTGTATTCCTTTTATTCCTTCTTCTTGCCTAATTGCTCTGGCTAGGAATTCCAGTACTATGTTGAATAGGAGTGGAGATAGTGGGCATCCTTGTCTGGTTCCTGATTTTAGAGGGAATGGTTTTAATTTTTCTCCGTTAAGTATAATGCTGGCTGTAGGTTTGTCATATATAGCTTTTATAATGTTGAGGAACTTTCCTTCTATTCCTAGTTTTCTTAGAGCTTTTATCATGAAATGATGTTGGATCTTATCAAAGGCTTTTTCTGCATCTATTGAGATGATCAAGTGGTTTTTGTCTTTGCTTCTCTTAATGTGGTTTATTACGTTTATTGATTTTCGTATGTTGAACCACCCCTGCATCCCGTGTGAAAGTATTTTAAACTGAAAGAGTACATGATGGTTTTGTAAATGCCACAGTGTACCCCCACCCAGCACAATAATGAAAAAATAGAAAAGAGTGCATGATGGGAACATCTTCAGGCTAACAATGCTTAAAGCCCCCTCTCTGCCATGGCCCATTCTTCTCTATCTATAGTTCCAACCTTCCTCTTGCCTTTCTAGGGGTCTGTTGATCATTCTTCTTGGATGTTCCCTTGGATCCTCAGACTGCCCTCAGCCTCATGGAGCTCAACCTCTTCTCCCTAAATTGGCTCACTTGAGTTTCTTTTTGGTGTGAGCAACCCCATAATTATCAGTCATTCATGCTTCAGCTTCAGTAGGAACCTTTCCTCCCGTCTGTGCAGCCATCCACTCAGTGGGCCTCATGGAGAGTATCTGTTGCCTCTCAAATTAATTCTGTCTTTTCTTCTCAAATGCCAGCTAGATAGTATTTCCCAGCATTCTTTCTCAACAGTTTTGAAACCATCTTTTCTTTCCCACTCATAATACCAACACTCTAATCCAATCATTCAAAACGTATTCATTCAATGCATGCCATGTACTATTCTGTGTACTAGAGATATCACGATGTACAAGAAGAACTGGTCTCCAGCCTTAAGGAGCTTCCAATCTAGTAAGAGGAACAAGTACTTTCAAAGCAGTGTAAGTATTATGGCAAGGACCACATGTGGCCTGGCAGGAGGAAGAAGAATAGAGGTGCTTACCTGAACTTTGGGTACTTCCTAGAAAGAAAGGCATTAAGTCTGAGATCTGAGAGCTGAAATCTGGAGGGCAAAAGAAGGTGCTGTGCTTAGGGAATTGAAAGTGGCTCGTTGTGGCTGGGATGGGAAATGTAAGAAGGTGGGGGGACTTTTGAAGGAGATAACTCAGCTCATGCAACACTTTGAAAGCCCACTTAAAGCATTTTGGTCTTATCCTAACAACAATAAGGCTGTAGTTCTAGTTTCAACAGGAGCTGGTGGTAGTCTGAAATAAGGAAATGGTAGAGTAGATAGAGATATGAAGGTAAGTTCAGGAGAAGTAAGAGGGCAGAAATGATAGAACTGGGTGATTAGTTGGCTGTGCTAGGCCAGGGGTGCAGTCTAGGCCATGGAGGATGCCTAGACTAAGGGTAGACAAGGATGTCTAAAAGAGAGCCTTTGGGAGGGATTGAAGGGCCAGAGAAGAGGGTGGCCAAAAAAGTCAAAGGGAAACCAGGACAGCATTAGTCGTGGGAGCTTTCAGGAAGTGATCACCTCACACCTTGCTGAAAAGTCAAGTGACTTTTCAAATAAACAGAGAAAAGGGTCCCTTGCCCTCCCTTGAAGTATATTACCAAGTGGAAACCCCACTGGGAGTCGTTTTGATGTAGTGGACACGTCTAGGAAGTGGGAGTGAAGAGTAGACTCCCTAGGAATTGATGACTGGTGTAGCTAGGCATTGTGTCAAAGAAAGGGATTTAAATTGTTATTGTTTATTTAGATCTTCTTTGATTTCCTTCATCAGAGTATTTTGTAGTTTTCTACCTATAGACTTTTGACATTTTGTTAGATACAGTCCTAAGTAATTCATTTGAGGGGTGGGGTGTGCTCTGCTAAGGAGTATTTTTTTCTAATTTCAAGCTCCAATTGTTCACAGCTGATATATGGGAAAGCACCGGCATGTATATATTTACCTTGTCTCCTCCAACCTTTCTGTCATCCCCTACTAGTTCTGGAGGACTTTTTTGTCTGGTTAGGGTTTTATATAAACAATCATGACATTCATGAACAAAGTTGGTTTTATCTCATTCTTCCCAGTCCATATACCTTTCCATTTGTTTCTTGTCATATTATATATTAATTTGGACTTTCATTACAACCTAGAATAGGAGTGACAAGAGACAAAATCTTTGCCTTGTTCCTATATCTTAATTGCAGATTTTTTTTTAATAAATGTTCTTCATCAAATTGATGTTCCTACTTTACTGAGAGTTTTTTTTTAAATCACAAATGTTTTTTCGATTTATTTCTTATTTTGTTTTGTTATGGTTGTAAAGACTTTTTGTTTTGGTGTGTGTGTGGGGGGGTACTGGGATAGAAACCAGCATCTCATGCATGCTAAATGTGTGCTCTTCCTCTTCAGCCATGACTCCAGTCCTTTTTGCTCTAGTTATTTTGAAGATAGGGGCTCACATTTTTTGCCCAGGCCATCCTTATACCCTGCCCATTACCCTTCTTTACCCCCACCCCCATTTGGAATCTTATCTGATTCTGTGCAATTCAAGATTCAGCCAAGGATTTTGTTGTTGTTCATGATATTGAAAGAGTCTTGCTGTGTAGCCTAGGCAGGCCTGGAACCCCAGATCTTCCTATTTCAGCCTCCCAAGTGCTGGGATTCCAGCCAAGGATTTGAAGGGAATTTATGTGGGGATTCTGGGGCCTGTCCCTTCAGACCTCCCTTCTCTGGGATTTTCCTGTCTCAACTTCCACCAGCAACTCTAGCAGGCTTAAACTCAGTTTTCCTTTCTTTAGGGAAATAATACTATGGATTCCTGTTTAAGTTCTATCTGCCTCAGAATGTACAGGTGGGGATTGCCTTTAGCCACATCAATCTAGGTTAAAACCTGTATCCTCCAAAGGTTGAATCTTTTCCAGTCTCTGCCTGTTCTTCATGGTTCTTTGGTATTTTGAAAAATTCTATTAAGAACTAATCATTACTAGAAGTAGGGCCCGATCAATACATGCTATTCCACCATTACTAGAAGCAGAAGGAGGAGACGAAGGAGTTTGGACTTTATTTTACAGACTGAAAGATTTTAGATGGGGAAAAGTTTGAAGAGTCCTAGTTTGGGGAGATTAGAATGGAGTGACTTTCGGGTGGATTGGAAAGCAGTTGGGAGAATTTTTAGTAGCTTAAGAGAAGGGTACAAAAGCCATAATTAGAGGGAAGAGGCAGTGGAAATGGAAAAGGGAGGATCATATGGAAGAGATTTAAAGAAAGATCTAGTTTCTATAAGCAAGGATTCTGAAGATTATTACCCTTCCACTCAGGGTCTGCCCTGGTGAAGGTCTGTCCCAGAGTGGTCTGTGTAGGCCTGTGACATTTATTCACCAGATGTTAGTCCTGTAAAATGAAATGGTTGAATCCTGATCACTCCTGGTCTGCAGGTCGCCCTGGCTCACCTGAGGATTACTGAGGGTCCCCAGGGTCTAAAGAATATAATTTGTCAGTTTTGGAATAGCCTGTTTGCTTCCAGACCCAAATGTGGAGTTGAACTGGACAGGAGTTGGGGAATGGTAAGGAGAGGGAGTTAGAATGCGGGTGACCCTGCCTAGACCTGCCTCAGTACCCACAGCCTGAGGCTCTTCCTATAGTGGGCAGCCAGTTACCCTTGACCTTTTCTACCAGCTCTGCTTCCTCTTTCAACAGGTCAAATGGATGATGTACTGGATTATATTTGCACTTTTCACCACAGCAGAGACATTCACAGACATCTTCCTTTGCTGGTAAGTGCTCTAAGAATTGGGACATTACAAAGGGTGATCTTACCTAGTACCAAGGGAGAGGGGGGAAAGGGCTGAAGCCCCAAACCTTGCTCAGGTCAGAGAGGCAGGGGGCAGGGCTATTAATTGGAGCCCATTTAACAAATTGGTCTCTAAAAGTGGTTCAAGTAAATATTGGTTAAGTTTGTAAGAGCAGGTATGTTCAAGGCACTGGGGATATAGGAGTAGATGAGACAGACACAGCTCCTCAATTAGTGGTGAAGAAGCATCCAATGGCAAAAAAAAAAAAAAAAACAGAAAGAAATAGTACACAAAGTCATGAAATAAAAAACCAAATTTCCTTCCCACACCATGTACTCTCACCATAATCATGACTCACAATTGTGTCTCATCTTGTTTTTCCAAATGTCCCACTTTCACTTCTGACAGTGCCTTTCTAGCCTATCATTATTATTATTATATATATTTTGCAGTACTGGGGTTTGAACTCAGTGCTTACACCTTGAGCCACTCCACCAACCTTTTTTTGTGATGAGTATTTTCAAGATAGGGTTTCTTGAACTATTTGCCTGGGCTGGCTTTGAACCATGATCCTCCTGATCTCTGCCTCCTTAGTAACTAGGATTACAGGCGTGAGCCACCAGCACCTGGCTCTATTTTTATTATTGTTATTATTAGTTATTATTATTTTGGTTGCACTGGAGTTTGAACTCAGGTTCTTATACTTGCTAGGCAGGCACTCTTACCACTTGAGCTACTCCATCAGCATGCCTTTCTATTCGAATAAACTTTACTTTTTGCTACTCTGAAAAAAATTTTTTGTGTTTGTACACATACTCATATACATTTTCCTTTTTTAAGAGTCTTTTTTGGGGGGTCGGTGCTGAGGTTTGAACTCAGGGCCTTGTGTTTGCTAGGCAGGCTCTCTACCACTTGAGCCGTACCTTCAGCCTTTTTTGCTTAGGTATATTACAGATAGGTTTTTGAATTTTTGCCCAGGGCTGACCTATACCTCCTGCACAGGCATCTGCCACCACGTCCAGCTTATTTGTTGAGGTGGAAGTCTTGCTAACTTTTTGCCTGGTCTGTTTTTTTTTTTTTTTTTGCGGGGGGGGTACTGGGGTTTGAACTCAGGGTCTCATGCTTGCTAGGCTTGTTGCTTTTTTCATTTTGTTTTGTTTTCTTGAGGTAGTGGGGATTGAATCCAGGGCTTTGCACATGCTAGGCAAGCACTGTACCACTGAGCTATATCTGCAGGCCACTGATGTCCTTGTGTGTGTGTGTGTGTGTGTGTGTGTGTGTGTGTGTGTGTGTATGAGTAAAGTGGGAGAGTTTATTGAGATGAAAATATAGCAAAGAATAGACCTGGGAGGGGTCTCAAGACAGGGTGGTAGAGAAGTAACAAGGTCTGAGGGGTTTTTTATCCATTTTCTCCAGGGCCTTGCTCAGTTTCTATGCTAATTAGGTGTGTAGAAACAGCACTCTGGGTGGCTGTGCCTGTAACATTCTGATTGGTTGTGCCCTAATCCTCATACTGTCCTTATTCTGGTCCATCCTGCTTTTCCTTCTTTGCACTCTTTAAGGTCACAGAGCAGTCATAATGAAGGTTTCCAGGGGCCTTTCTGTCTCATTACCACCTCTGAAGAAGTAACCTTAACTACCTTTTGGGAAAAGGGGTGATAACCACTCTTTGGCTGCTTTGAGCTAGAAAGGGGCATCAGTAGGGGACAGCAGTCAGGACCTTCTTACAGAGGCCTATCTAAAGTCCCTAGTAGATGGAGGTCTTTATTTGAGGCTCCCATTATAATTTTGATTTGTGTGTGTGTGTGTGTGTGTGTGTGTGTGTGTGTGTGTGTGTGTGTTATACTGGAGTTTGAACTCAGGGCTCACACTTGCTAGGCAGATACTCTACCACTTAAACCACTCTACCAGCCCCCATTTTTATTTTAAACTTAAAAGGTGACAAGGGAAATTTAGTTGGCAGGAAATATAGGTGATGGGTTTCCAGGACCAAGCCCAGGAGACATCCAGTTATTTTTTTACCCTTTGATGAAATCCTGAATTCCTGGCCAATGCACCAAATATATTCCCAACGTGGTCTGTCTTGAGCCTGGGGTCTTTGTCTCACAATTTCAAAGAATGAAAATCATGGATAATGAGAGTGAGTAAAGTGGGAGAGTTTCTTGAGATAGAAAATTAGCAAAGAGTGGAGCCCCCAGAGCTGGGAGGGGCTCCAAGAGATGGTGCCCACTTATGTCCTTTTAATGAGCATTTCAGTTGGTTCACATTTTTTCTCTTATAACAGTACAACTATTTCTAGCAATGAAGCAATTAAAAATGTTGAGGGAGGTCTTTGTATTAATACATTGTTTCTTCTTGGGTGGAAGAGGCTGTGAATAATATATAGTATCCTGCTCATGTTTAAAGTGTGTGAGTTTGAGCCCATGTGAATGTGTACTAACAATCCTGTGGAAAATACACTTAGCCAGAGTTGTTTCTACAACTTAGGATCATGGGGTTAGTTTTGTATTTGCTGTGTTACATGAATGTAACAATCATGTTACAAATATCAGAGAAAACAATAAAGATATTTCCATTTTGGAGAAGAAAAAGTTCTTACCCAAAAAGGATCAGCGTGAACGTCCCCTCTGGGATGTCCTAGGCAAAGGAACAGGTCTGAACAGCACTTCTCTGAATCTCCTTTTGGGTCAATGGCCTTAATTCTCTCAACATGAGCCTGACTTTTATCTCTATGGAGAGAAACAGCTGTCTCAGTCATGGTGGCCTCAAGCCATAGGGCAGGAATTCTGGATCTCCTGATTCAATATGCTTGTGTCCTGCTGTCTTGCACTGCCCACACCGCACAGCAGACTCCAGACGGGCTGGGCCTCCTTGAATGGAGACAGAACTCTGCTGGGATTTCCCTATCTCCCCCAGTTCCCAGAGGCTGGCAATAAGGAGTCAGTCCGTTGTGTGAGAGCTGCCTAAGGAAGCATCCTATCTGACTTCTGGAGATGAGGGTAATCGGCCCAGTCCAGTCAAGACTGTGTAGTCTGTTAAATAGAGTGGCCGGCACCTCAAGTCATCCAGCCTTCCCTCCTTCATGCACCCTCTGTCTGGTGCTGGGTAGCTTCCTGCTGCCCGCCATATCCTTCTCATAACATCAGGGACAATGGCGTTAGACACAGGAGCTCTTTCCCAAGGGTATTGCCATGTCAGCCTTGCTGCATCTTGCCGGATGGAACTCCTGTCTAAGATGGCTGTGTTCCTCCCTGGTAGCTGGAATATGCCCTGGTTCACACACGGTTGGAGTTTTATACCAAGTAAGTGGTCAGCAACTATTTTTAGAGTTGATTTGATTTTTATTTGGGGAGGCATACTAGCTTTCTTTCATTGCCATAACAAATTGCCATAAATTTAGCCCTTTAAAAGAACACAAAGTTTCTGTTCCACAGTTTCCTTCACTCAGAACCTCACAGGCCAAAGTCAAGGTGCAGGCCAGCCAGACTCCATGGGGAGGTTTTGGTGAAAGTTCCCCTTCAAGCGCATTGGCAAGTTGTTAGCAAGTTGTTAGCAAGTTCAGTTTCTGGGGCTTGTAGGACTGTGGTTTCCATTTTCTTGATGTGTGTCACCCCCTTCATCTTCAAGGTAACCGCAGCACGTCGAATCCTCATGCTTTGCATCTCTGTCTTCTGCGTCTGTCAGGAGACACATTGCTGCTTTCGCTTTAAGACCTCATGTGATTAGATTCGGTTCACTCCAGTGACCTGGTCTAATTTCCCTATTTTAAAGACAGCAGGTTAGCAGCCTTCCTTACATGTGCAAGTCCTTTTGCCACATAAGGTAACACGTTCGTGGGAGTAACACCAAGCGGAGAAGGTCATGGACAAAATTCTGACTGTGACAGAGGCTCTTCAGAAGCTGGTACATTTGGAGCTACACAGGTGTGGGTGGGTGCCACTCCCCTTCTAACCCATCACCTGAGACCTCACCTGCTCCCACCTTTGGTTCTCTTAGCTTCAAGTGTCTAGGAGTTCACAGTTGGGAAATGAGGGTTCCTTGCCCTTTTCCTGGAGATCAAACTCTGTTTCTGTGGGGAAGAAGCTGTCAAGGGCCCTTCCCTGCCTGCTTCAGCCCCTCACTCTTCACCCTTCACTGTCCTCCCCTAGGACAGTCCCTCTTCATGGTTAACTTTTTAACACACTCTTCCTTGATGGAAATAGCAGTGAAAGTGGTCATAGAAAAAAAATAAAACAAAACAAAAAACAAAGACAAAATAAAGTGGTCATAGAGTAGATAGGATGGTGAGTTTTCACAATTTGTGGAGGTGGATCTGGTACAGATGATTCCAGAAGCTCCAGAAGCTGCAGGATTACCTTCTCCCTTCCGCACTCACTTTAGTTAGAGAGCTCTGGGGCCTTTAGGTGGGGAAACAGGCTTTAAGCCAGACGTTAGCACGGTTTTTCCGTACAGGGTGAGATAGTAAATGTTTTGAGCTTTGAGGGCCATATGCTTTATTGCAGCTACTTTACTCAACCATTGTAGCATGAAAGCAATCAATATATAAGTGAATGGCATGACCGTGTTCTAATAAAATTTTATTTATAAAATAGGTGACAGGCTGGATTCGGCCCATGAACCATGGGTTATTGGGGCTCCTGGATCCATTCTAACATCAACAGAGTCGCTCTCTGACTAACTTAAGCATATCTCAACTGGTAAAGTGCTTACCTAGCATATATGAGGCCCTGGGTTCAATCCCTGATGAAAAGAAAACAAAACAATAGAACTTTGTTGGGTGATGGTTGGTATAACCCACAGAATGGAAAGGACAGCTGAAAAACTCAATTCTAGAAGGGGAAGAACCAGGGAACCTCGGGGGCCCTCACAATGAAGCTTAGTGATTCTGCTTCTGTCCACTGCCACCCCCATCAGCATTATTTTGCTGTGGGCCTCCCAGCTCCAAATTTCACTCTACGGTGAGCTAGAGATTTCTTAGTACT